ATGGTTTCACTAAGGGAAAGTCTTGTTTAACAAAGCTTCTGACATTCTTTGAGGATGTTACTGCAAGAGTTGATGAAGGAAATACTGTGGATTTGATTTACCTTGACTTTCAGAAAGCATTTCATAAGGTGCCTCACAAAATACTTGTTACAAAAATAAAATCTGTGGGTGTGGGGGAAACATTATTAAATTGGATAGAAAATTGGCTGGAAAGTAGAAATCAGAGAGTAGTAATAAATGGAGTTAGATCTGACTGGATCACAGTTACAAGCAGTGTGCCTCAGGGCTCTGTGCTAGGTTCTCTGCTGTTTGTGATTTATATTAATGATATTGATTCTGGAATTAATAACAAAATTTTGAAGTTTGCAGATGGCATTAAGATTTTTTTTTTTGGTGGCTAACTGTATCAAAGATGCTGCAAACTTACAGGGAGATTTAGATCATTTGATTCATTGGACCAATAAGTGGCAGATGATGTTTAACTATCCAAAATGTAAAGTGATGCATGAAGGTTTTCACAATTCAAATTATTGTTGTGATTTAAATGGGAATACATTAAATACAGTGATTCAAGAAAAAAAATCTTGGTGTTGTGATTGAAAAATAAATAACGTCATCTAAACAATGTATTGTACCTAGCAATAGGGCTAATAATAGAATTTTGGGTAGCATCTATAGAAATATTGAATACATGGCAAGGGATGTTATTGTTTCACACTATAGATCATTTGTAAGGCCTCATTTAGAGTACTGTGTACAGTTTTGAGCTCCCTTCCTCAAGAAGGAAATTTAATTGTTGGAGAAGGTTCAGAGAAGAGCCACTAGGATGATACCTGGGAAGGTGGGATTGTCCTATGAGGAGAGACTAAAATATCTAAAATTGTTTTATCTGGAGAGGAGAAGGGTCAGAGGGGATTTGATTGAGGTGTTTATGATTATTAAAAGTATTGCTAATATAGATCCATCAAACTTGTTTGTGTTTAGCAGTGAAAACAATAGGACAAAGGGTCATAAATTCAAATTTTGGCAGCGTAGGAGTTGTCTGCAGTTTAGACTGTATTACTTTTCAAACAGGGTAGTTGGCTTTTGGAATGAGCTGCCTTAAAGTGTGGTGAGGCATAAAATTTAACTGAGTTCAAGAAAAGATTGGATGAATGCATGAGTAGTAAGGGTTGGTAATAGTTGGGAGCTGGAAGAGACATCCTTGATGGGTTAATAAGCTCCTTTTTGTCCCTTTAAAATTTTATGAAATTTATGAAAATATCTGTGCTCTGCCCACCACTGGTATCGAAACCCGGTTTCTAGCGTTCTAAGTCCGCAGACATGCCGCTGTGCCAGCAGGGGGCTTTAGAATAATTAAATTGTTAATTGTACTACTCGACAAGTACTGTTTGATATTTACTGCCATCTATGGTCAAATTATCGCATGCTTGAAATGTCTTCGTTCATGTGTATTTGTGATTTGTTTTGTTACATATCAACGCTACTTAACCCTAATATTATGCATTAGAATGTTTAGACATCGTAAAAAATGGTACAGTTTTACAAGTTTGGAGAGGGTAAAGTTCTACACGTTCTTACAACCTTTCACTGTTGCCCCTTGTTTTACTTCTGTTTCACTTTTCTTGTAAGTTTTCCAAAGTCAACAGTTACATATGAATATTAGAAAATACCACGAAGTATGAAAACCCTGCATACTTAATAGATGTTAACGAACTGTAAACAAAGTGAATATTTTACTTAGGAAAGGAACTGTATTAAAATAATTGTTAATACTGTACAACTTGAGTAAAAATTGTTTGATGCGATGTTCTAAACATTTTTTATCTTTTTTTTAGGCTCTTCGAGAAGAAAAGTTAAAGAGAGGTTTTTATTAAGATCCTTAGCCGTACAATAATTAAGAGTGGAAGGATTTTAGTTGTCTTTATCAGGCTTTTTAAAATAAGGTAATTCTATAACGTTACTGATATTTATGTAAGATAGACAGTAAACAAGTTCCTATTACATTTCCGCTGCTGAACTTGTCTGAGCTTTCTGCTATTTATGGACCATTATAAAAATGTCAACCAATCTTGTTCTTCGGGTCAAAGAGCCCCAATGGTGGCGAGGGTTGTCCCATCTGTTCATTAGCTCTATATAAAGGGGCCCGGCATGGCCAGGTGGTTAGTGTACTCGACTCGCAATCTGAGGGTCGCGGGTTCGAATCCCCGTCACACCAAACATGCTCGCCCATTCAGCCGTGTGGGCGTTATTATGTGACGGTCAATCGCACTATTCGTTGGTAAAAGAGTAGCTCAAGATTGGCGGTGGGTGGTGATGACTAGCTGCCTTCCCTTTAGTCTTACACTGCTAAATTGGAGACGGCTAGCGCAGATAGCCCTCGTGTAGCTTTGCGCGAAATTCCAAACAAACAAATTATATAAAGGACGGCTATAGCTGAACCCTACAGGGTTTCTGACCTGGTTGTTTAGCCAACGTGAACAGGGATCATTCAGATTCGTACCCCGGTGGGACAGCGGTAAGTTTATGGACTTACAACGCTAAAATCTGGGGTTTGAATTCCAGCATTGGACACAGTTAATGGTAAAATGTTGTTTTGCTCTAAAACAAACAACACCAATAACATTTAGGTTCTTCATGAGAAAATGAGTAAAGCAATGCCTATAGGCGAGCGTTCCGGCTGCAACTCAGAAATACTAAGAATCAAACTGCAATGATGCTAAGCACTTTCAGCTGTAGGTGCGTTATAAGAGTGACAGACAATCCAGTTATTCTGTTCAAAGTTGGACAAAGCCTTTGTGGTGGCAAATACTGACCGACTGCATCCTCTTTAGTGGTGTTTGGGTGTTGTCTATTGGTTAGAGCATTGAACTATGGATCTGTTTCTTTGATGGTAATAGTAAACAAACCACGGAACTTCAGCTCTACACTCCGGCACGTTAACCGCAAGGTTGCAGTTAGCCCCTTAATTCCCTTTAATCTGCAGCTCGAAATATATATGGGTGTCTCTTTATCTGCTCTTTTAGCCTATTGTGTGTGTGTGTCACTGAACAGGCCATTTAGCCTGTGTGTCACGTACCGTGCTGTTCAGGTTAAAAATACCAAGTACTGTATTGAAAATAGTAGAACATATATTTGTGTATATATATACTACGTTCGTCTTACTTCTTCATGATAAACTTACCGGAGGCTTTTCGAAAACGTAATTGCCAGAGATTTTTAAGTGTTTCACTATCTTTATGAGGACAATAATAAAAAGTTTCAACGAGATTGATCATATTTTAAAAAAAGGAGGAGAGGTTTCGGTGACATTTGAGGCAATTATTCAAGAGGTATCTTTAATGTTTCTTTTAAGATTCTTTAGGACAAAAATAAAGATATATAGATATCGTGTACTTCTTTGTCGACAAAAATGTTTTGAAAATTTCAATGCGTTTTCCGCGTTTTACTCCATACAAAAGTTCAATATGATTTTCGTTATGTTGCTTAGGGTTTTTTAACACAAGAAATGTTCTTTAAACATTCTTCAGTCATCTATAAGAAATAACATTTAATACTATTTTACTCAGGCTTACTCAAAACACAAGTGTATAAGACATATTTCTGTTATATTTTTCAACCTTCTTCAGTACAATAGTTAAGAAAGATTTCTGTTATGTTTTTCAGGAATACTCAGTACAAGAATAAGTCATGTTTACATAATTATTCACACTCTCTACAAGTTTGGATTGGTTTGAATTTCACATAAAACTACACGAGGGCTATCTGCACTAGCCATCCCTAATTTAGCAGTAATAGAATAGAGGGAAGGCAGCACTACAACACCACTCATCGTCAACTCTTGGGCTACAGCGAATAATGGAATTGACCGTCATATTGTAACGCCCCCACGGATTTCTCAAAACATCCATAATTCAACGGAAGAGTCAGATATATATTCGTAATTATTAGTCATTTATTTTTTACTATTTCTTAACTCAATTTTTATGACACGTTTCTATGATGCTTCTCATAATAAGCAACTGGTTTAATATTTATCAGCCTCGAATAGTGTAATAGTTAAACGAGGTTTTTATGAGAGTCGTCAGGCTCAGAACAAGAGTAAAATACGATTCTACATTGTAAAAGTTATAATAAATACGAATAATCACCAGCAAAAGTATTTTTATTCCCAAAGTTTTTTGTATAAGCTTTACCAAGGAGTGGTTATATCATACCAACACAGTCTTACGATTTAAAAAATATAGGAATAACATAAAATTGGGTTTAAAAAACACAACAGAAGGTAACAACATTGTAACAATATATAACATTGATGCATCACATATTACTCCTGGTGGTAACAATACTGATTTTGATTTTTTTTCAAACAATAAAAAAAAATTCTGAAAAAATCATGTAAAATGAAGACTTTTTTTTTACATATATATAAATAGAATTTCAGAGATTCTTTTATCCGTCATCGTCCAGCCCAATTGACGAGTTTTGGTATTAACAAAAGGCTTCTGGAGCATGACTTGTGGGAAACGAAAATAGATCCGAAATGCTAATTTTTACACATCTCTTACTTTGAATATGAAATTGACAAATTAAGAGGAATCTGTAGAAGAAAAAAAAAAACTCTGTACTTTACGTTACTTCTGTCGTAAATTGTAGGCCTAATAATTTATAATGATTAGCTAGTTTCAGCGGTTAAACTGTAAATATTATTTTTAAAAAAATATTTAAAGTATGTAATCAGTTTTATTGGTGGCCTAGAAAAAATAAATAAAAAAATAAAGAAATTAATTTGTTAGAAAAATATATTGATCGTACATTCTGTATATTCCCGATTAAGTCCGAAAATAATACGTCTAAAATTGAAACAAAGATTTCTAAAGAAACCATTCATGAACACGAAGTGTTTTTTCTTGTCTTAAATATGTCAACAGTCATTACTAGTTTACCTATTGGTAAACTATGGGTACTGATGTAATTCTCTGCTATAATACTATCAACAATATTCTATTGTTGAATGTATTTTGCATACTCTGAATAGTAGATTATAAAGTTCTCGAACGATCTTTCAAATATAAAACTGATTACTCTCTTTGCATGTGGTTTTGTATACAATATAATGTAAGCCTTATATTTTAAACTCACAACTCAAAAAATGTCAAACGTTGAGCGATATTTGGTAAACTCAGTCAAATTCATGCAACACCTATGGAAACACTCGTAAGGCTTGGAACGGTCTAAAATATGTTTTAAAGAATATGCAGTATCCACCGGACTACATCGTATCAGTATTTAGAAAACATCATGCCATCACCACCTTGGAAAAACTCGCCGAAAATCTCAATGCAACAACTTGGTTCATTCCTTTTATTTGTGAAAATGTAGCATACCTTCTCTAAAAGTGCATATTTAATACTAATCTTCCCGGCCCGGCATGGCCAGGTGGATTAGGCGCTCGACTCACAATCTGAGGGTCGCGGGTTCGAATCCCACCAAACATGCTCGCCCTTTCAGCCGTGGGGGCGTTATAATGTGACGGTCAATCCCACTATTCGTTGGTAAAAGAGTAGCCCAAGAGTTGGCGGTGGGTGGTGATGACTAGCTGCCTTCCCTCTAGTCTTACACTGCTAAATTAGGGACGGCTAGCGCAGATAGCCCTCGTGTAGCTTTGCGCGAAATTCCAAAAACAAACAAAAAAAACAAACTAATCTTCCCACCAAAATCGTTCAACGTCCAGATGGAAACTTAAAATCACGACTTCTTACTTTTACTTTCTACCAAAACTTGTTACACAACAGCAACAACAAAAACCGTTTGGGGGCAGATCAGGAAATAACCGACATCATGTGTCGTACATTACGTTGTATATAAGACAACATGCAAAGAGTGTAATCAATTTTATGTTCGACAAATTGGCCAAAAACATCCTAACATAATTTCAGAACATGCAAAGTATATTCAACAACGGAAAACTGTTAATAGTACTAATGTAAAAAAAATTACATCCACACCCATGATTTACCAATAGGTAAACTAATAATAACTGTTGACATATTGAAAACAACAAAAACCTTTCGCGAAATAAAATACGCAGAGTTCCTTGTCCATAAAAAAAGTCCTACATTAAATCATAATCGTGAATGTCCTCTTTAAACCGTTTGTGTCAGATTTAGACTTATCTTTCTGAGAGAATAAATCACGAAGTTATAGAATGTACAACTAAAATGTTTTTCCAATAAATTATTATGTCTATTCCTATTATATTGTTTTTTAACTTATGAGTACAACTAATTATATATTCTATAGATTTTTTTATTCTTTGGAAATCGACATCACATTTGTCCCTCAAGGAGTGATACATGTTACAATATATACATTACTACATTGTTGTTAACTTATTTTATGTTATTTTTATCTGTTCCCCTCTTATCTTTGCCTTTTTCAACTATAAACAATGCTAGTGCGATAGCTTAAATTCGTTTTTATGAGGGTTGTCAACCTTAATCAGAACAAAAGTAGACTATGCGTCAATATACGTTTTAGCCTTGGTCAGTGGCTTGAAGTGGTTTTTATGATGCTTGTAAACCTTAATCAGAACAAGAGTATGATATAAGTCTATGATGTTTTGGTCTTGGTTATTGCAGTAACTAAGATTGGGTTTTATGACGGCTGTCAGACTTAGTCAGAACAAAAGTAAAGTATACGTCCATAACATTTTTTAACCGCGGCGTAGCGGCTCACAGAATGGCTCTGAGTTTTTCAAGTACAAACTTTTAGCTCATAGCTCCGTCATCTCTTGGTCGATTTGAGATATAATTACAGTTTTGGGCTCAGGGGGTCAAACCCTTTTGTCCAAGATCTCCTAGATTAATTTACTCTAATTCTGCTTAAAATCATTTCAACTTGAGAGTAAACCGGTAGAGATCCTGACGAGTAATAAAGTCGAATCGGGTATACGCGCGCCCCACGCTTAGTATTGCTGGCGCACAAAAATTTAGTCAATAAAAAGGAAAAAAAGGGGTCATACATTAATTTATTCTAATACTGCCTAAAAGAATTTTAAGTGCTGTGGCTATTGAAGGTTCCCTCTTGTTTAGTCTTAGTGTGATAGCTTACACTGGTTTTTGTGACGGTTGTCAGGCTGACTAAGTACAAGAGTAAAGTACACTTCTATAATATTTCTCAGCCTTTTTTCGTACAATGATTAAGAGAGGTATTTATAATGTCCCTTATCACGTTTTAGAGAAGGAGTTATTTTTTTCTTCTTTTAGGCATAAATCGTTAATATGTTTTTGAGTTCTCCATGCTTCTCCAAAGTAACGAGCGAATATACAGGTCACTAGTACAACCAGCGTTTTCCGCCATACGTGGAAAACCACCAAGCGGCATGTTGTACATATTCTTCGTTTTGTAATTATATTTATTTTTTAATACGTCCATTTTATTTTTAAAATAGCTTGTATAGTCAAATATGACATCTCTCTGCAAATTTTGCTTTGTGTTAGTACAGTAGCTATGATCTGATAGTAGTACGTGCATAAAAATATTGAATCTTAGAATGCTCACTATGTTGATTTTTATCTCTGAATAAATATAAATTATGACCGCAGCGTTAAAAGTCTGAAACACATCCGGTTCTGTAAATTTTATATATGGACAAGTGAACTTTGCTGTGTAGAAGTCAATGAAAGTGTGATTCATTAATTTTATCATCTAAGTAAGCATACGGCTCCCGGCTACATCCGGTTTGTTCTGAGTCGTTGACATGTGAAGAAAGACGCTCTCACGTGAGTATTAGTCCTAAATACAAACACACAAAGATATAATATATATATACATGTACATTTATATTAGCGTTCATCAGGCTACAACGATATTAGTTCATTTGTGAAGCGTGGGTTTTAAAGAGACACTGACTTCTTTAACAAGGCGTGACATCTGTTAAAAGGAAGACATCACAGAGTCAATTGCCTCGTGGGAGCTTTTAAAGAAACCTACATACGATCTGACAAAAATAAAGAGGACACAAGGAGAAAGTTTTGTTCATGCAAATATATATATATATATATATATCCTAGCCTTAGAGATTCTCGAGGGAACGGTAGATTGTTTGTTTGTTTTTGAATTTCGCGCAAAGCTACACGAGGGCTATCTGCGCTAGCCGTCCCTAATTTAGCA